ATATGCATGTGAACTCGCCTTAGATTCTGCAACAACAAAGGTGCTGCCTTTCTGCTTTAGTCCAAGGGAGTTATTAAGCCAAGAGCTGTGAGGAGCGCAGTCCTGCTCACTTTCGCCAGGCCGTCTGCCCACGGCAGTACCCGGATGACCTTGGAGCCCTGGCACGCACTTCTGCTTGCTTGGCGCCTGTCCCCTTGAAAATGAGGCCAGAGCAGAAGCTTCTCTCCTTGGCCGTCTCCCGGCATCCTGACCTTCAGCGCCTTCTTTTTAGTTTTTCTGTCTCCGCCTTGTCCCTGTCTGTCCCCAACTAGGTCCAATAATTTCAGTACTGGCTAAACGGGAGTGCAGTGGTTCAGAAGAGCAGCCACCTCTGAGTTCAGCGCGGTGGACGGAGGACACGTTTGCACAGACTGAGGAGCTTGTGCCTGGGAGAACCTTCTCAAGAGGAAACCTTGGCTGACCAGGGCACACGGGGAATGGAGGAGGTCGGAGCCACTGACCCAGGCTGTCTTTCTCCAACTCCACTGCTGCTTTATAGATGTTCCTGATGCAGCCTCATCTGGTGTTTTGGTGTCAGAAAGGGGATGAAGTGTGTGGCCCTGGCCAAGTCCTCACACACAGCCAAGAACTCTGGCTCCAAACGTCCAGGGAAAGGCAGGCTTGTACTGTGAACGACCAAAGCACCAGGGAGACTCGTCCTAATTAAAATCCAGATCTCTCTTCGGAGCAGTTGCTCCCGTTGCCTCGCTTACCATGGATCACCTCAGTGGTTTGATAGGATGGGAGCTGGGTCACCATGGAAACGTAAGGCTCAAACTCTCCCTGGAGATCAGTGCTGAGAGCAGTGGAGTCCCACGACAACCGCAAATGCCGTACCTCCAGGCCCCGTGGTGGCGATCACAGGACACCCACCTCCTTTACGAACTGTTCCCAGTCAGTGACAAGCCAGGGGAGGCAGCAGAGCTGCCCACATGTGCATGATGCCACGTTCCTCCAACAGGTGGCTTTCTCTCTGGGACTGCTCACAGGTGTGCCTGATGCCTCCTTCCTTCATTCAGTTTAAGGCTTTTCACACCCAGTCCTCTCCTTCCTCCACCCGTTCAGGATGCTGGAAGCACCATGGGCTCTTCTTACTCGGGCCTGGCCCATCTCCATTTTTCTCCCCTGAACATCTTGTATTGTATCAGGCAGCTTTCCCATTGCTGGGACAAAATGTGGGTGGGCCGTCCAGGAGTGAAGACTTGCTCTGACCCATGGTTTTGGAGGACATTGTCCGTAACCAGCTGGCAGAAGGACCATTAGAGAAAAGGTGTCAACCATGGCAGCCAGGAAGCAGAGGAAAAGAGAGGAGATGGTGACTGGAGTGCACCCTTCCCCTTCCAGGCCATGCTGCGCAGCAGGCCCACCGGCTGCCTAACGTCACACCCTGCTTCCCTCAGAAGGTCGACCCGAAGATGAGCACGGAACTCCATGATCGACTCACCACCCAAGACCCGCTCTGGACACGTGGGACCTCTGGGGACATTCTGGGTCTGAAGCACAACACGCCCTCTCCCAATCGACTCAGGCACATCTAATAAGGCCTTGGTGTGGATCGCTGTGTGGTTCTTGCTTACACTTGTCAGAAGCTAGCAAATTCTTATGAAAATGATATAAAATGTTAAAATTTACATATTACACAGAAATAGGCGTCATTCTGGCCTTCTCTGTCATCTTTTATGCTATTTGCCTTTTTTCCCTCTCTATTCCAATTTCTGTCACAAAGGTTGTCTGAATTTTTATGGCAGACAAGAAAAAAAAAATGAAGCTTGGATGGCTTTTCTAGCAATGTTCACAAGAAATGAACAGAGCCAAAGCCAGGACGTTGTTCTGCGATAAAACTGTTCCTCCCTCGACTCCTGAGTGAGAGGAGTGCGTCCCAGGACAGCATCAGGGGTGCGGGTGGGGGTGAGTACAGGCAGCCGTCTGCCGACCACAAAGGAGCAGGGTCTCCACACATGCGCGTCTGCGCCCGGTCGGGCTCCCAGGAGTAGGGAAGCTTCGCGAGTCCCAGGGATGACTTCCCATTTCATTTTTCTTAGGAAAGACACTAAAACGCTCACAGGAAAAGTAAATGAAGCAGATCTCACAGAGCTTATATTTGAAGGCTCCTAGGTAGCTGTCCTCTTCTGGCTCTTCAAGAGGAAGCTAGCAACTAAACGGTGACAAAGTCTTTTTCTTAAAAAAAAATAAATCTAGACATTGTTTTGTCAAGTTTCTGTTTAACTTCCCGAAGACACGAGTGGTTCACAATCATAAACAAGAGGTAGAAATACAAGGTTAAATGTCTTCCCACACATGTACATGCACGTACACACACGCACACACTCGTGCGCACATGTGCACACACAGGTACACACATGGACGTGCACACACACATGCACAAACACTCGTGTGTACATGTGCACGCACACACAGGCACACTCACGGGCTGTATATGGCTTCTGCACAGGATCTATGTCAGCAACTGCTGTCCCTTTAGGGTCACCCCCTCATTAACATGGCGTGTGCAGACTGCGGCCCTAAGCGGCACGGAGTGCACCCAACAGCGCCGCCACGCGGACAACACTCCAACGCCCACGAAGTGTTTGCAGTGCGCTGTGCAGTCACCGCTCCTTCTCCCCACCCCGCGCAGCACTTTTCACGGCAACACTGACTTGCAAGTTGGCGTTACACATTCAGTACATTTTTATAGTTCGCAAAAGTGACTGGGCCACTATTCTCAGTAAGGTAAGCACAAAAATAGGGAGGGAGAAAACCGACAAGGAAGACGCGAGCCTACCGCGCTCCGGCGGGAGGCGATCAGGTGGGCCACAGCGCTGGCGGCGTGCTTGGGGGTGCGGTCCCCTTCAGACGAGGGAGGACGGTCACCCCTGCAGTGACAGCTCTGCCACAGTGTCTTAAAAGAAGGCAGAGTCCAGAGGTGACTGCGGCAGACACCGCACCGCTGGCAACCCGGCACCAGCCTCCGGCGGCCAGGCCCCAGCTGTCTGCTGACAGCCCGCCCGCCCGCCCGGCGGCCTGGAGCTGCGGGTCGGTGAGCTCGGGGCCCACTGTGGTCCTGCGGTACCGCAGCGCTTCGCAGCCCAGCCTGCACGCAGCCCGGCGATTTCTGAGGTGATCATCTGTTCAGTGCGAGGAGCTGGCACATTTGGCGGGCTTAAAGCACAGTTTGGGGGGATGAAAATATTCCTTGAATCTTCTACGGACAACTCATGGTGATTGCTGAGCACACCTGGCCTCAGCACTGATTCAAAATCATCTTGACGTTACAATAGAAATGCAGGCCACTCTTCACATACTTACTCTAAAGATACTGACATTACAAACGTAAGTGGACTTACCTCTTAATCATTCCCATTTGAGAAAATTAAATTATTTTAGGGCTTTTAAATAGGAAACTTTAAATTTTATAAATGTTCTATTTAAAATAAGTAGATTTACAACAGGAAGAAAAGGGAAGGGGACAGGATTTTAAAAATGGAATTGAAGGAAAAATAAAAATCGAGCAGCCTCAGGAGCTAGAGGGGGCAGGGGAAGGGCGGAGAATTCCCGTGGGTGACGCATGCCACTCCCCCCGCACACATGGCCACTATGTGCCACAAACACGGACTAACAAAAATCAATTAAAAAATAAGTAACACGGGTATATTTTTCAAAGATGCAGGTTTAACTAAATAAAATATTCAATGTATTTTCTTGAATTTTTGGCTATGCATGCAATAAAATATTTCTTGAGTATCGCATGCAAGGTAACATGTTAAAAAAAAAGAATTAGAGTATTATAAATCAGAACTGTAAAACTTCTTGCCAAAACCCCTAAAATTTGCAGCTCCTTTCGTCTTTTGTTCATTCCCAGTCCAAACACGCCCAATTCTCGGCGCGTCCACCTCGGTGCAGCCAGCACGCACATGCGCAGCCCCACACCGGCCGCAAGCGCCCGCCCCCAAGCCGCGCTGCCCGCCGCCCCCGCGAGCTTACTGCAGTGCCACCTGCGGCACAGTCACGCAGAAATAGTTCAGAAAATCTAGTATAAGAATCTACTGATTAGTGAGCTTCACCCCAACATGCCAGGATGTTCGCGTTGCTTAGAAATGAGCAAGTGGGGGCCTCGCACTGCAGGCCTGAGGAGGCAGGAAAGGAACAGAGAAAGAGGCGAGCGGCACAGGCGCGCAGCCCAGAGGCGAGGGCCTCGACCCCTGAGCCAGGCCGGCGGCTGGGGACATCCGCCTCGCCCCTGGCGAGCTCCAGGGAAGGAAGTTTTCTAGGTGCCTTGAGATCGATTTTCAGATTTATAAAATGACTGTCAGAGCAGTACTTACCCGAGAGGCTGCTGTGGCGGACAAATGGGCCGTTAGCGGGGACACGATGGTAACCGTCCCCTGCGCAAAGTAGACCTCAGGCAGCGCTCATGCACGTCCGCACGGGACGGCTGAACTGTGAAAATGCAGAGCCCCGGACACGGGCCGCTGGCCGCGCGGGGGCGTGGACGCGGCGCACCCGGCGCTCGGCCGTGCAGGCTGGGCCTACTTTTCAGTGAAACTGGAATGTGTTTATCCACCCGCTATGGGGAACGCTGCACAGCTGCGAAAGGCGCCGGAGTCGCGGCATGCGAGGAGCTACTGACGCGGGGGCCTTGCGCGCGCCGCTGAGAGGAAGCCAGCCGACCGCGACAGCACGCCGCGCGCAGCGTGCCGGAGTGATCGTATCTGTCTGTGGGCTGACAGCGCAGAGCGCTCTGCTGATCAGCTGTCCTCTGCGCTCTGCCTCGCCGTATCTGCTTCACTCAGAACTCTGCCTGGAGCATGCACCACGCTGTTCTTAGCAAGAGCAGGATAAAGGGGACTTCACGGAGCACACAGCAGCAGCAGCCACCTACTCGTCGTGCAATACCATGCGTGCAGAGGCGTGCTGCAAGCCGCTGGGGGCAGGAGGGATTGACAGGGCCGCGCTGTACTCACCCCCCGAAAGCCTGGAGCGCAGAGAGTCCGGGTGCCTTCGACCCACTGCCACTTACTATTCGAGCCTTAAATGAAGAACAAGAACAGAACAACAGGTGTCAGGCGGCTGCCGCTGCGGGGAGGCAGCAGGGACACAGTCCGACTGCACCACACACGTAACACCTAGGATGGCAGATGCTAAGCAGGGTCAGCTCCAAGTCAAAGCTGTGTTTTGTGAGTGGAGGCTTTGTGATCAGCTGTCAGCATTGGCACAAAAGCACTGGCAGAGTCCAGGAAAGACATCGTACTGGAGGTGCCGCGGGGCCTTCCGACTGGCAATGTGCAGGGAGACACGGGCCAGTCAGGAAGGTCACGGCTTAGCCAGACGTGGGGACGGATGCTGCGTTTGACAGTAGCGGACCCCTGGGAGGCGAGTGTAAGCTAGAGGAAGCGCAGCTGCAAGGTGTGACCTCGCGAATGCACACAGTGGGGCGCACTTCAGGGAAACCAGGGCGGGAAGCCGGGACAACAACATGCACATTTCACAACTAAAACAGAGAAACCAAAACAGGTCTAACATGTCACAGACAAACAGGGACAAAGGACAAGATCCCTCAGGAGGCAAGAAAAAGTATGATTTGAAACCTTTTCATCCGCAGCACTGCTATCTGAAAGACAATCAGGAGAAGAGGGACAACGTTAGATGGAGTGCTTTGCAAGGCAGCATTCAAACACACACACGAGCAAATGTCACGTCACACTGTGAAACCCGTAGGCCAGCAGCTTCAAGGCTGAGCCCTGAGGGAGCATAATTTAAAGACATAATTTAAAGATCTGGAAAATGCTATCCTAGACTTGAAAAGTAGACCAGGGGCCTCTCCGAGTTTAGCGAAAGGAAAGGAAAATGGGAGGAACTGGAACCCTCCGGGCTCTCGCCTTTGCCGCGCCCCGTCTGGCGAGGCTGCTACTCGTGGGCGCCCAGTTTGTGTTTTAAATGCTACTGCAACACCTGTGAGAGTAAAGGAAGTTTCATTTCTCTAATACACTAACAACTATTACAGATTTTCTGTGTGGCCCCGGCAAGCCTTCCGCTCGGTGCGGCCCACGTGAGCCATCAGACTGGCCACGCCGTGCTGACACGCTTCTCTCAGTCAGTATATGCAAAGGTCAAAGTGATGATTCTATAAATGTACTGAGGGATTATTTATGGCTTCTCATATGGTATTTAAGAGCTGAATATTAATTAAAGTGCTTCCATCTTAAAACCGAGGTTAATGATGCTTTGACTAAACTCACAGGGCCTGGCAATGGCAGCAGCAAGAGGCCAGCCAGGCCCCGCTCCCCACTCGTGCTGCCTGTTGGCGCGTGTTCCTACTCTGCAGGGCCGAGCCGCACGTGTGCTAGGCAAGCGCTCTGCCACCGAGCTGCTGCCCAGCCCCATCTGGTGCTCTGAGCTCCGGTGTTTTAGGTAAGCTACACAAAACATCAAGGGTGGCTGGACCATGTCTTGTAGTGGATTTTAACAGAATAGGGCCAGCAGTGTTCAACCCCAACTGCGCCTGTCCTCAAGACGGACAGCGGACACTGCATGCTGTGCCTCCCAGTGCCACGCGCTGTCCGCAGACTCGGGTCTGCATCTGCTGGGATCAGAAGGACAGAGTCTATTTTTATCTTACGCACAACTACTGCTCCTAGCTCAGCCTATTAGCATGCAGCTGGAAGGACACTGCCCTGGAGGAGATGCAGGCAGGATCCAGGGCTGGGCTGACCCTGGCGTCCAGCCCAGCCGCCTTTCTATGGAGAAGAATGCCGGAGAGATAATTTTCCCAAGGTCATGCGGCTCGAGGGTTACCCTTACTGAGGAGACTCTGAAGTGTCTTTACTTCCTCCATTCATAAAGTACAGCTTAGTTATCATTACTAATATTTTTGGGCAGATTTTATAATATCTCAGCTACAGCTTCAAGTATAAAATGTGGCAAATATAAAGTAAAAAAGATGACTCTGACTTGTGGGCATAAATATATAAAACTTGCATAGCAAGTAAAAATTTTAAAAATTATATAAAACATCTAAGATATTATCCCAAGGATGACTTAAGGATATGAAACAACTAATTTTTTTTTTAAGGCAGGGTTTCCTATGTAGTTCAGGTTGACCTTGAGCTTATTGTGTAAGCCATGGTGGCCTCAAACTTGTGGTGATCTTCTTGCCTCAGCCTCTCAAGTGCTGGGATACAGGTGTGCCGTCACACCTGGCCATAGAACAACCAATTTAACACATCAGTTGGTCAGAAGATACGCAGAAAAACTTCAATAGGCAGGGTGGTCAGATAGCTCAGTGGCCTAGAGCGCCTGCGAAGGCAGAGCACGGCGGCTGGGGTTTGATCCCTTGCATGTCATGATGACCCTGCCCACAGGGCGCACTGAGACAGCAATTGAGACTGGCTGTGGCGGTGCGGGCCTGTAATCCCAGCACTTATGAGGCTGAAAACAGGAGGATGACTACGGGTCCAATCTATGTAGTGAGACCCTGTAGACCGAGTACTAAATACACACAAAAAACTTTTATAGGTTCCCAAAGGTCATCTGATAAAATTTCCAGCCTTATGAAAAATTCTTAAAAAGTTCTTTAAAATGGGGTCAGTTAGAATGAGTTCTCTTAAACTTACTCTATTAGAAACAATCTTACACTCAGAGTCATCAACGTATTTGTGAGAGAAGCACATTTCTGTCATCAAGAGCAAGACAAAAATCTCAGCTACCATCTTTTAAAATTATTTCTGGAAATTCTGGACAATATTGTAAACATGAACAAAAATAAAGAACTTAAATGTTAGAAATCAGACTATAACATTGCTGTTACTTTCAGGAATTATAATTTTATATTCAGAAAAAAATCATCTGAAACTGTAAGGATTAATGAAAGAGCTAACAGCAGCCTTCTAGCCAACATGCAAACAAAATGATAAGAATGAAGTTATTTCCTTCATATTACCAATGACTAGTTTGGAAAACAAGATAAAAGGAGTTTGAGTAGTTCTATCCTTGTTTCCCATTGATATCAGTCTTCTACCCCTAAAAGCAGTGATCTGGGGAAGGCCATAGCTAGTATTCAGGCGCTAGCACAGGGTCACATTGCTTCCTCAGCCCATTCATTCACTCATTTATTATTCATTCTGTGGTTCATTCATTTACTCATTCATTGATTCATTGACATTTATTAGCAACGAATCCTGTGTATTCCTTTTCACTTCTTTCTTATTTCCCTGAAAAACCCTTACCCAACACTCTGTGAGAGTCGGGCCTGATGGGTGAGTCACCCCTCGTCCTATGACCACCAGGGAGATCAGGGGCCTGGGGTCACAGAGGGCCCCGCCTCACTGCCCTTGCCCACCCCGCCCTCAGCAGGTCCAGATCGCTGCACCTGTCACCATGTCGTGTTCTGTGAGGCCTACATGCCTGTCCTGTTTCTTCTTCCTTCTTCTAGAACATCCCCTTTGCACACCTTGCTTGCTGCCTGTCACCCCCAAAGTGCACCTGAACCCCACCCCCTGTCCCAGAGCTTGTCACTCAAGCCCCAGCACGGGAATCCAGCCCTCACACCGGGCCTTCTGGCCACCGAGGTCACTGAAGGCAGGTTCCTGGGAGCCTCTTCCCACCTGACCGTCTCCATCTTAGGAGGGCCTGAACCTCATGTCCTCAGCTCCTACAGCCTTCCTGAAAACACAGTCGGTGACTGACGAGTGTTTTCTGAGTACCGAATCAACAAACACTAAGCTATGTCACTCTACGGAAATATCTAAAATGGGAAAAAAGGAAGATACGATTTCATCTTCCTAATAGAAGGGTAGATTATCACCTAACAGGCTTAATAGATAAATTCTAATGGTGACTTTCTGTAATGGCAGTAATGCTACCTGCAGGTTCAGGTGCATGGCCATGAGGGGACGGAGACTTCAGGGGAGCATTAAAGAGACTGCCTGTAAAGTACTGAGAATCGATGACACTTAAAACAGCATGGTCCTGGCAAAACGGGAGACAAGGAGGTGAGCGAGCTCCACATGGCATGAGCTTTCCTCGCACTTAAGAACTCGACCACAAGGCAGAGACCAGCCCTGCCCCAGCCCCTGGCCCGGGAAGGCTGCCCTGCCCGTGAGTGAGAGAAGCGCCTGCGCCAGGGATTTCTGCTCTCAAGCATGCCAAAGCTCCACACACAGTGAAGAGTTAGATACAAACTAAAGGAAGAAAAATTAGGCAAAAAGAGAAATGAATATGCATTAAAACTATGGAGTGAGAAAAGACATGCAAATTTAGATGTGATAGATAATCCACAAATTGAAAACTAATTATGGTAATTAATTGTGAAAAGTGTCCAATATGTAAACCTGTCTAATCATGATTATAAAATTAACAAAGAATAAAGATATTCATTTTAATGGAACTTAAAAAACAATCCTAAGGCTTTGGAGTATATCAGAAATCACACTATTATGTACAGTTGACAAGAGTGAAAATTGTAACAGAAGTTTTAGAACATTTTTAGGGATGTTTTGATAAGGAAATTTTAATTTTGGACACTCGTGCAAAGGAAGCTCTATCACGGTGCTCAGAACTCGGGTGCTACAGCCTGCGCTGGTGCCCGGAACGTGGCCCTGCCCAGAAACCCGGTCGGCGCAGAGGTCAAGAGTCACAGGGAGCCCTTAGAGCACAGCTGCCCACATCTGGGTTACTGCTCTCCTCAAAAGGGAAACGTGGACTCAGACACCACCTGGAAGAGCTCACTGAGAAGCCAGGAGCTGGGTCGGGTTGGGCTGGCCTTCCCTGCCTGCCGGGGTCCCGCCCGCCTGCCCTCACCACCGGGGTGTCCGATCCAGGGTTCAGCCAGCGCGTCCCTCTTTCCAGGGTCTTCAGTGTGTGGCTCTGTGTGAGTATGGCCGTGGCGAACTAACACAATTTTAAATATTAAAAAATACTGCATGTGCATGGCCGGCATCACTTCCTCTCCTTCCCAAAAATGCTGGAGAAGCACATGCGATGCAGTGTAGGACTGCAGGTTAAAGGTCAAGTTCCATGACCTTGCTGCAGGAACGCGTGGCCAGAAGGATCCACGGCTTACAGCCTGTATAAAAATGGAGGGAATGTTCATGGCATGTAAAACTTTGGAATCGTCATTCTGTTTCTAGTATACTAAAAGCCCACATAAAGCACAAGTTGTACACCATCACCCAGACTTTTAATAATTGCTCACCTTCCCTAATAGCACAAAATATTACGATGGGTTTTTCATTTCCAGGCTCCTTTCATGTAGCAGTGTTATATTATTCAGATGTAGAACTGACACAATATTCTTTCTCCGGGCGTATGTAACACTCTCCAAGACAGAGCAGGCCGCAGAGAAAACAACAGCAAATTTAATGATCGAAATCACATCAAATCTTTTATGAACACAATGTATAAAACTGAGCATCATTAATGGGAAGAATTTTGGAGAAGTGAACATGTGTGAAAACTAAAAAACACACACTTGAACCAGCAAGAGGTCAAAGAACTCAGGCAGCTGCTTCTCCCACCATCATCGAAGGCAGGCGGGCGCAGGCCATCTACCGGAGACCTGGCGACCCCTGTCCTGCCACCCCCTCCACCATCGCTGGAGCGAGGCTGAGCCTT